GTCATGAACCCTTAGACCTGACAGTGTACACTTGGTAAAATAACGGATTTCAAGCCTCTGCTCAACTATCAAGTATCACTTCAATGAAATTTCAATTCATATGAGCCAAGAGGAATTTTCCACAATATTTGTACAATAATTAGAAACTGTAATGGCGCAGATGACAGAAAAGAAATTGTTCGGAATGAGTCTGAACATTTCTTCGTTCAAATTGTATACGAATTGTTGTCACATCCTATCCTACAAATATGGTATTTTAGCTGGGCGTGCTTAGCCAACCGTATCTGCAAGGGATTCTAATTGCCGCTCGAAATCTGCGTATCTCAGACAATCGTTGTTGTCCCGTAGAATGATTGTCCTCTAGAAGTCATCCCTTTCATTCGGAACCAAGAAAATTTGTCAGCTGTGTTTATTTGCAGGCTTAGTGGCAGACTATACCCGTTTTGCAAATTTCAGTTGCATCTCTGTAGCCACTCCCCGAGTCGTAGTTCGTGTTATCAAGAGAAATTTCTTTTTGTACTAAGTCTGCGATGAAATAAACAATTGCAGCCGGTGAGGGATTTCGTGCTCGGACCACAAGTGCGCTTTGACTACGTAGCTGACGCTCAACTAACCCGCTATGTCACAATTAGATGTACATGCTAAGATGTCATCGAATGAGGTAAGGTTTGCATATATCGCTTTCCCTTGCAATGATCTGCAACGATAGAGTAAACATTTTTAGCATAGGCACGATCATCCAGGGAGTAATAGACGAGTGAAACTCAACATCGGTGGTACTATTTTTGAGACGACCATCTCCACCTTAACATGACTGGATAATACTGTGAATTCGATTCTTTTTTGAACCTCCCAGTCTTTCAGCATAGTAATTTAATCTTTAAAGGTGCTTTCCACCATGGTCGCTGATCGTTGGCACAATCAAGAGGAATTGTTTGTGGTTCGGGATCCAACTCACTTCCGAAAAGTATCATGCAAATTTTCTCCTTCGAGAAATCCACCCGTTATTTATTTCAGATACTGAACTACTTGAGAGATGGGGGAAACTTAGTTCCTCCTGCAGATTTTGAAGCTCGAGAAAGCCTCCGAAAGGAAGCCGAGGTGAGGCTTGAAAAGCATTAGAGTATCTATAGGTAAAATTGCAATTTCATGATCTGCCTGAGCTTGCCAAGATGTGTCTGCCTGGTTTGCATCTGAACGACTGGGTGCAGTGGAAGGAAGAAGCTGTTGAAGCATACTGGGTTGAATGTGCTTGGTGAGTGTTGCCGGAATGGCTCTAATCCACCTACGACCCAAGAAATGAAAAGCGTGTATTTAGCTAAAAAATCATTTGGGGAGGTTATTTTGCACATTGATCACAAAATCAGATCATTTTGCACAGTGAATCATCTAGTGTGGTATAGCACCGCCTGCTTCAACCGGAATTAGAACATAGATTCGATGATTCTATACGAAGCTTGTGCCTGCTTCGTAAGGGTCTTCGAACGGCATCGCCGCTCAGAGCTGGCATTTTGCCAGCAGAACGGAGTGGAAGACGCAGGCAAGTGTCCTTTCCACGACATGATACAACTAGAGCGATGCGGCGCGAACCTCGCGAAGCAGACGTATGTTAAAATCTATTCCGATTGGAACAGAGTATACTTTATCTTGTGTTGTAATCAACTTCACTTTCATATTCTCTGTCTCGTTTGGCATGAGCCCGACTCGAGCAGCTCGGATCCCGCGCGTTCGCCTCGCCTGGATCTTGCGCAGCGTTCGCAAACTTGCCGTGTGGTCATTTTCTCACACGTGAGTGTGACCGGTCGAGCTCCGGTCCTTTTAATCAGACTTGGAAAACGCTTTGAGAACACTTTAACAAAAGCGATGCAAGCTCAAGCGAGGCGGCTGCGCTAGAGCGGAACCCCTCTAGTCGGGCTCACTCCAAATGGGACGGCGGGTAAACTAAATAGCGGTCTCTCTATAAGCTACGACGGCACCAGAGGTGGTAGGACAAGGGCATCTAACATTTGCGAAAGTTGTGGATCCAAAGTGGGAACCAGGGTCAAGCGTGTTGATGCGATCCTGGACCCTCAATTACGACCCCCCCCCCTTGAAGGTACCCATCCGTACGACCCCCCCCCCCTCCCTCCCCCTCTCCCAACTATCCCCCTTACCTCCCCTTCCCATATTTCTCGCGGTAACCTGCATAAAAGAATGTCTATCTCAAAAAACACCTGCGTGAGAATTTCAGTGAGGTTCCGGAAGCAGAATTTCTAGGCCAATGGGTGCGCCAGCATCTCTAGCACATATATACACACATTTAATAATGTTTGAGATTCTGCAAGTTTACTTTTGAATTTTCGGGCATACTTCAGGCCAGCAAATTCGATTCCCGTATGCCGACACAAATTTTACACGGAGAACAAAATGACATTCTTGAACTACTAAAGATGTTTTTGACTAAGAAGCTCAGTTCTTACCTCTTCCATAGTTTTTCCTGCGAAAAAAAGCGCTTTAGCGCCGTCCAGAACGACGTCAAAAACATGCATGAGCACGGTAGTTTGAAAATTCGTAACTAAGGCCAGGAAAAGACTGAGAGGCTGCAAAGAACAGATTCTGTAGCATAGTGCCCAGACTATTCATAGAAAAAGTTTCAGCCCTTGAGGAGCAGTGAGCTCGAAAAAATTTAGATCAGGCTCTCGCAAATTTAGATGCGATCCTAAAAAGCAAAAACTGGGATTTTTGAGCTTAAAATTTTGTAACTCACCAGAGAAGTCATAAAATAGCCTGAAATTCGTATGATAAAAACTAGAGGGATGGCCTCGCATTACAGCAAGTTTGCAGCTCACAAGGTTCAATAGCTCCGGAGAAATTTAGATCAGGCGCAGATAAGAACCCCTTTTCTCATTTTTTGCTACCATACATAAAATCATAGGAAAATCCGCAGTTTATAAAATAACACCAAATTTCACACAGCAGTAGCAGGGCTTATCCAAAGTACATATAAATTGTAAGGGCCGCATAAATGGCATTACAAAAAGATTTATACGAATTATTGATTGTCATCGTTGATCTACATGTGCGCTTTTGTCGAGTGTGCGAGTCTTCAGTGAGCCTTCGGAAGCAGGATGTCTACACCAATCGGTACATCCAACATCTTTATCACATATACATGCCTTTAGTAGCATTTGAGCTTTTTAAAGTGTTTATTATCTGGATTTCAGTCATCCAGCAGGGTTCGATCCTCGTTTGAGACAATATTTTGCGGGAGAAATAGCGATTCCCATAAAAAAAACTAAGTTATAATCTTTCAAAAGTGCAGCAAATGAAACGAATTTCTACGCTTGCAAATGTTTTCAAATTATTGTTCATTCGTTTTTATTTGATACATTGGTACACGGCATTCCATGAATTTATTGTTGAAAACATGTAATAATTGCTTGCTATTTGATTTGCTTTCAATCGCACGGTTTTTTATCCAAACTACCCCCTCTTACGACCCCCCTCCCCCTCACCGTAGGCCTCCTTTACGACCCCCGTTGCGACAGTCGCATCACACGCTTGACCCTGGTGGGAACTCATGCGTTGTTGAGATCCAAAAATCCTCTCATCACTTCACCAGTCATGGAAGACGATGTGTTGATGAAGCATGAAATGCAGTTCATGAAAGGCATCGTTACGGAGGTAATGCAGAAGAACGACGAACATTCAGCAATTATCAATTTGGAAATGTTGCAGGTAAAATCAAGGTTGTGCTGTACGGTAAGGGACAATGGATGGTGGACGCATTTTCCGCAATCCTCACTTCGACTGGCAACATCGAATTAGATTTTTAACTCGCTGTCGCCTGTTTAGTAGCAACTATCTTCCTCTGGACATCCTATGCTTATTACTACACTAGAAGTCTCCACTTAATAAAGAATCTTTTGGAAAGAGTATGTCGTGATAACCACGATCACCATGAGGGGCGGAGCGCCGGTCAAAGGCGACTAGGCGTACAGAGAGAATGATTATTCATTCTTGTCGTTGCTCCCTCAAGCAAGTCGACTTCCAGGCAAAGTGGCGCTTCAAACAAGCAACAATATATGTAATTCTAAGTTATGTCTCATTCGATTATGTTATCTTGACGCAATAAACAGAGTGTAAGTTTGTTTGTGGTTATCAGCAATCAAACCTAAACAAGGTTTAAACATGGTGCATCGGCCGATAGACTCAGGTCGTCCCTACTAAAATGGGCATTCGTTTTAATTGTTCTCAAGTATTTATTGCAGAACTGGAAGAAGGGAGAGGGAAGTCGGTAAGTGGAGCCTGATCAACTTCACTGTCCCCTTCAAGTTCTCCCTCTTCCAGAAATAAATAGCCGGCTACATACAAAGGTCATCAGTGACTAGAGTTGGTGGCTCGAAATAATCACCTAGAGTTGGTGGCTCGAAATAATCACCTAGAGTTGGTGGCTCGAAATAATCACCTAGAGTTGGTGGCTCGAAATAATCACCTAGAGTTGGTGGCTCGAAATAATCACCTAGAGTTGGTGACTCGAAATAATCACCTAGAGTCGGTGGCTCGAAATAATCACCGGGAGATGATGTCTGGAAATGGGCACCAGAAATCAGGATCGTCAAAAAGGTAACGTACTCTCTACTGATTGTTTTGCATTTTGTACACTGATACATATTTTATCAATTTTACAACAATACGAAACTGCGCATTGATGAGTTATGCAAACAAAAAAAAATTCCATTATAAAGATAGATGCACTGATAAAGAAAAAAAAATGTTTTGAGAAAGAGAGTAATGTTTATCGAGATAAAGACGTTCTCATAGAAACAATGAAAACAAGCAAGCTTATCTCATTTATACAATCGTCAACATCCGGCACGAAATAAAAGGTGGTCCCATATGCCGTCCAACATTGTCATATTGCTTCGTGCACTGTATCATCGCGCTGAAATATGTCTTTTGAATTTACCATAAAATCGGTAAAACAAAAACTAACAAGGCAACTCAACGAGCTATTATCCATGCACGTTGAGGCAGAACAATTCAAAGAATTATGGAAGTTCCCTACTAACTGGGAACAACTGGAAAACTATATTCTTTCCAACAAAGCAATACTATCAAATTTGATAGGGCAAATCAAAGAAAGGGAAGAAAAACTAGTGAATGACTACTCGACCTATGTTGCAGAGATAGAATCAATCAAAAGCGAAGACAAAGTAAGAGGGGAGACAATTGAAGCAGAATTTGATCATTACTGGGAGGTCAGACAAGGAGATCAAATATTGGATACGAGCAGTCAACTGAGGAGGAAATTAGAAATCCGCCTTGTCGAGCTTGAATGTCAAGAAAGAGCAGCAAAAAGGGACGCTGATAAGGAAACAAACATATCAGTATCCCAAGCAATAATGTCGCAAGCCGCAGCTCAAGTAACTGTTACCGATGGACAATCAAACCTACCAAAACAAGATGAGGGGACGCATCCAAGCAACTCCTTCACCGTACCTCCACAATCACAAATGTTCCGTTATTTATACGGACATGAATTACGCGTCCCAGAATTTCATGGGAATCCCGAAGAATTCGAATCGTTCTGGGAACTTTTCGAAGAACTCGTTCATAAACAGCCTTACAGTGACTTGGAGAAACTATCTATTCTGTTAAGTTCTTGTAAAGGAGATGCAGAGCGTGCTTTGCGAATGATACCGCGTAATGGGCACTCATATGGCTTAGCAGTTATGCAATTGAAATCCCAATTTCGTGATGAGCGCAGGAATAAAACCATTCTTTTACGCAAACTGCAAGCCCTGCCAAGAGCAGGGGAAGATCCCAGACAACTTCAAAATACTTACAACGACATCCTGGCCCTGGTAGCCGAGATGCGAAAACAAAACGAGGCTGTCGACAACACCGGTCTGTTACAAACAGTTCTTAGCAAATTTTCGAAAAGTATTCAGGATGAAGCGGCAAAACGAGAATATGATTCTAAAAAGATCTGGTCTATGAGCGACCTCATGGAAAATCTTGATATTCTTGTAAGAAGGCGAGTTCACGTAGGATTCAAAACCGGTAGAAATCAAGAAGAAAATTTCACAGCGTTAAGCATTCAGTCGAAACCTCAGACATTATATTGTGTCGGATGCAACGGAGCACATAGGTTCGTAGACTGTGATAAGTACAAAAACACGCACGAAAGAAGAGAAAGGCTCAAGCAGATGAGGGTATGTTGGATTTGCTTCAGCAAACGACATCAGTCTCATGAATGCCACAAACAGCGATGTCCTCATTGTGGAGGAGCACACCATCCCGTGCTGTGCAATCGTCAAGTACACAGCAGTAGAAGAACAAGCTGCTTTAGACAAAGAGCATTTTCCCCATCCTCCAGCCACATACAGAGACAGCCGTCTCCTAAGCCACAACAACGGTATAAACACAATCGATCCCCCTCCCCAGTTTTTCGTCCAAAAGCGCAAAGCCCAAACGTGAGTTTTAAAGATGCTGGACGATTACGAACTAATAGTCCTATCCCAAAGAGCAGATATACGAGAAATCGATACAGCGAAGATTACAGAAAACAAGGAAACAGATCCTTTCATACGTCGCCAAGCCATAAAAGCCCCAATCGAGTAAGATTTGTGACTTTCACAATGTCAAAACGGGACTCCGACGCTGACGATTCAACACTTACATTAGCAAACGAGAAAGAATTACAGAGTATTGAAAATGCACAATGTACAAGATTGATGACAGTCCCAGTAAAAATTCGCAATAACAGCTCCGGACAAATGGAGACAATTATGGCCCTCTTGGATAGCGCATCGGATTCGTCATTCATTACCATCGAAGCCGTTCGAAGGTTAAACTTGAAATCGCATTCAGAACGAATAATAACAGTCACAACATTTGGAGGACGAGCATATCAGAGAAGCACAAAACGAGTTGAGGTAACGCTTTTCAACTACAACGGACAACCGATGGAAGTCACCCTACTTACTCATGAAAATATCACTAAGCCTCTATGCTTATGTGATCTTACAGAAGAAGACTTAAGATTCCTCGAAGACAACTTCATCCTTACAGACAAATCTCTTCTCAGGCAAACAACCGTCAACCCGGAAATTTTGTTAGGCATAGACTACTTCAATAGTATTCTAATAATCGACAAACAACCTATTCAACTTCCCTCCGGCTTCTACGTGACACCTACATTCTTTGGTCATGTTATCTCAGGTTCCCATTTTGGTCATCTTGAGCATTCTAGCAGCTGGGGAAACCATTCACTTACTGTGGATGTCGAAGACCTCTACCACCAATACGAAATGTTCCAATCCAATGAAGATAATTGGGTAAATGCACCCACCCAGCAACAAGAGAAGGAACAAATCATGAACAATTTCAACTCTACAGTACAAATACGCGAGCACAAGATATTTGTGCAATTTCCATGGAAAGAAAATAAAAATAAACTCTCAGACAACTTTGGGTTGGCCCTTAGTAGGCTTCATCAACAATTCAAACTGTCCTACCAAAATCCAAAACTATGGGAACAATACTGTGGAATTATAGAAGAACAACTAAAGATGGGTATCATAGAAGAGGTCCAAGAAAAACACAAAGCTGAATCTCCGCTGTACTATATCCCACACCAAGCGGTTGTGAAACCGTCAAGTCACACAACAAAAGTAAGGATAGTCTTAGATGCCTCCTCGAAACAGAAAGGAGAGTTGAGTTTGAATGATGTGATTCACCAAGGCCCCATGCTTCTACCCAGTTTACTAGGTATCTTGATACGTGCTAGAATCGGTAACAAGATACTCATTGCGGATGTCGAAAAAGCTTTCCATACAATCTATCTACAAGAGACTGAGAGAGATGCTGTACGATTTTTGTGGTTAAAAGATACTGCCAAGCCACCAGTATACCACAACATAAAAATCATGCGTTTTCAGAGACTAGCCTTTGGCATTAACGCCTCTCCCTCGCTTCTTGCCATGTCAATCAAATACTATCTTGACAAAGAATTGCACTCGCAAATTTCTGAAGAGATTATCAGGAATCTCTATGTAGATAATGTCTTACTATCAGCAGAATCAACCGAAGAAGCGATTAACAAATACCTACTTAGCAAACAAATTTTCAAAGACATGTCCATGAATCTGAGGGAATATATCTCCAATGATCCACACTGTAATGAAAAGATCAACCTAAATGACATCGCCAATCACAAAGACCATAAAATACTCGGAATAGCATGGGACCCGGATCAAGACCAGTTGAAACTGAAATCAAAACTAAAGTACACGCCAATCCCCACCAAAAGGTCTGTATTGCAAGCAATACATTCCACATTCGATCCCTTAGGATTTTTGACTCCATTGTTACTAAACGCACGCATTTTTATGCAAGATCTATGGCAAAAGCCATACAAGTGGGATTCTCCCCTGTCGAAGGAAGATGACAAGAGCTGGCGCAGCATATGCGACGAAGCATGTGATTTTAATGTTGCCATTCCAAGGAAAATAACAACACATGCTCAAGGAGAAGTCAACCAGATTCATACGTTTGTGGACGCATCAATAAGAAGCTACGCGGCCTGCGTGTACATGAGAACGAAAAATTCAACAGGTACTATCAAAAGTCATCTACTCATTGCTCGCAGCAGACTATCTCCGAAAAAAAGTCTGCAAAATCAATCCAATATAACAATTCCCCGCCTGGAGTTGATGGCATTAGAACTGGGAATGAAACTCACAGAGTTTGTACTAGATGAGATAGACTTGAACATTGATTATGTTCACATATATAGCGACTCGCAAATAGTGCTCTGTTGGGTCCATACGACTAAACCGAAAAACAAAAATGGTACATTCGTCAGTAATCGAGTTGCAAAAATAAAAGAGTCACTACAGAGAATTGCCGAGAAAGGGGTCGAATGTCAAATCCAGTACATCCCTAGTGAAAAGAATCCTGCAGATTACGCCACCCGGGGTACTAATTCGGCCGAGATCATCAAAGCTGAGTGGATGAAAGGACCAAAATTTCTTCTAAACACTGAACAGTACACCAACCAAGAATTCCCTCTACGCATAACCACCAAAAACAAAAACATTCAACTAGATGAAAGTGAACAGACAAGTGTGGAAAATATTCAGGAAGAAGACAGAGAAGAATGTACTGGAAATGACTCTTTAAGGGAATTGCCAATACATGCGACATGCACCGAGGCAAAGATGGACAAACAATTGCCGCTACCCGTATTGTCAACATGGTTTGAAACAAAAAGAGCAATGACAAATGTACTACGTTTCGTCAAACTTAGAATCAGTAGTACCATATCAGAAGAAAATCAACGAAAATTGAGTATAGCCATACCTGAGCTGTCTGAGATCCGTACGGAACGCCAGCGTCAGGAAATAAGCACCGAAGAGATCAACGCCGCTGAAAAATGTATCATCAAAATGATACAGCGTCAGTTCAAAATACCAAATGACAAATACAAGAATCTCAACCTACTTCCTGACCCTGACGGTATTCTTAGATGTTTTGGGAGATTACAAAAGTCTTTACTACCAGAAAATACTCGCAACCCTATCCTTCTTCCACCCAATGACCCCATCACAAGACTGATCGTAAAAGAGTATCACGAAAAAATTGGACATCAGGGAGTAAATGGGACTATAGCGAATATACGTACCAAATTTTGGATACCAACAGCAAGACAAGTAGTACGCAAGACATTGAATTCATGCATGATTTGCAAAAGATGGCACGCAAAGCCATACCTGTATCCGAATTCGCCGTCACTACCACTCTGTCGATCATCAAGTTCTCGACCATTTGAGCATGTGGGGATAGACTTCGCGGGTCCTTTTTATGTCCGAGCAATGGAAGACTCTACCATAAAGGTGTGGACATGCCTCTTCACATGCATGGTCACAAGAGCCGTGCACCTGGAAATGGTCGAATCGTTAAGTGCAGAAGCGTTTGTAAATAGCTTACGACGATTTGTAGCGAGACGAGGAGTACCAACATCAATAATTTCTGATAATGCAACCAATTTTCAATTGGGACAAGAAATTATCAATGATCAAACAGCGCAAAACGAGATTGCTGACGTCTCAACATTCAACACATTCTTGTCAAAAAATCAAATAAAATGGAAGTTTATCACACCCCTTTCACCATGGAAAGGAGGTTTCTATGAAAGGCTCGTGGGAATTATGAAACTATGTTTGCGAAAAATAATAGGACGCCGACAACTTGCTGCCCCCAGCTTCCAAACTTTTCTCAGCGAAGCAGAAGCAATGATCAACACAAGGCCTCTGGCCTACGCCGGCAGCGACGTTGATGACTCACTCATCATCAGGCCAATCGATTTCTTGATACCACATGCTCAGCTCAACCTTATAAAAGAACAAGATGAAAGTGAAACAGAATACGTACCACACATGACCAGAAAGTCTGAGGCAGTAAATTATCTTGCCGAAACAAATAACTACCTCACAAAAATGTGGACTATGTGGAGACAACAATATCTACTAGAACTCAGGAATTATCATGAAAAACGAATTCGCCAAAAAAGTTTCACGAGAAAAATACCACACATTGGAGAAGTAGTACTTATCATGGACGATAAAATAAAACGAGGATGCTGGCCAATGGGTCTGGTAACTCACATCGTAAAAGGGCCCGACGGAGAAGTACGTGAAGTCCAGCTACGTACTGCTTTCCAAAAAAGCATCACCCGCTCAATCAATATGTTGTTCCGATGGAATTGGATGACTCATCTGACACATGCGTTGGCGAAGTGCCGAGGAACGAGACAACAGAGAAATCAACGCCAGCACCGAATACTGGGAGAGAAAAGAGTCATCTTCGAGAAAAATTGCCCAGGAAAGCAAAAGAAAACGTGCACTATACACTAAATTGCGCATGCAACGGTTCAGAATCACATCAAAAGTGCAGTCCTAAATTACCTTGGCATGCATGGCTTTACACTATGACTCTGATTTCACTATTTTCACAAGCAAATACACATAAAGAAACGCTGCTAACCGAGTGCATTCTCGGCGGAATCAAAATATACGGTCTCAACGCACAAACTCTGCAAGTATGCGGAGAACATCATTGCATGGAGATAAAAAATACACAAGAAAATGTCACAATACAGTTTCCGCCCGAAGTAGTACTACACAAACACAATGTTCTAATCAAAACGTTGTCTTCTGATACCACGCAAGCCTTCCAATTCACATGCCCGCCAAGTCCGTTTTGTGAACAAATCAAATGCACATTTTGCTCCATCATGATTAACAACCCACACTGCTGGCCCAAAACTACCATTTTAGTATTAGCAATCATTAGTTACACAATCACAATCACCTTGTTACTAGCACTGTCATGTCTCAAAAAATTAAGACGATGTCTTCGCAGAAGTACTGTTAAACTTATTGCGCTAGGACTGAATATTCTCCACGCATGTTGCTCCACAATAGGCCAAAGGGACACAAAAACGAATGAGGACATACCACTCGTAGAAGTGCGAGCAAGATCTCAGGAAAGATGGAAACCGTCTACTCTCGTCAAAATTCTTACCATATCATTGATACTACTGAATATCATTGCAAAAACAACAGCATGTCAGCAAACTATAGTAGTGCAAACAAACATAACACGATGCACAGCAGAAAGCGGCTGCAACACGAAAAAAGAATTACTGCTGAAACTAAACTCAATGCAGCCAGAAGCGTGTTTTCGCATTCGACATCGTAACAAGACAATATCACAAACAAAGATAACACTCAAAGAAGTCATTCTGAGATGCAACAAAGAAACACTTTACTACACACGTAACACGGAAACGCGCGTACAATTCAGTAAGCGGTGCCCGCATATGGGTACGTGTTCAGGACTCAAGTGTGCAAAAATAACTCCAGAATCCAAGATAGAAGAGTTAGCCATGTCAAACAAGTACACAGGCATTACATATTGCACAGAATCCTGTGGCGGGCTAGGGTGCTCCTGCGGCTTTCCGTCGTCAGGATGCCTTTTTTATAGGATTTATCATGTCCCAATAGACAAGGAACTTTATGAAGTCTTTCACTGTCCTACATGGCTAGTAAAAGTGGGACTCTCAATTGAACAAACGATGTTCCGACAAAAACCGAAAAAGTACACGATAGAACTCCAACAAAATGTCAAGAAGAACTTTGAAAAAATGTCGGCAGAAGTGGCATCAATCGAAACAAGACCCATGCCATTCCTTGGAGATACCTTCATAGAAAACTCAAAAATGACAGCCCGCTTGAAAGAACATCATACCTTTAGCTACGCATGTGTCAAAACTGAAAACAATACGAAGTCACCGGTGGGAAAAGTAGAGTGCACAATTCGAGACACCTGCGACTGCAGGCCAGCAGAAGACAGTGTCAACTGCTATTGCACACATAACAACATAACACAAACGATAGAATTGAATCAAATTCTCCCAATCCGCATACCAAATGCTCAAATCATTCCAGAAGGCAAAAGCAGAATACTCACCGTGAGAACCTCGGAAGCCAGTTCAGAGTTAGCTTTGCTCCTAGATACAATCGGTTCAAATGTGCAATTCACATACGAGAAATTTCAGTGCCGAATCCACAGCGCGACCATTTATGGTTGCTACAACTGCTTGAAGGGTGCGATAACGCACATATACTGTATTTCGGACATCCCCGAGGCAGTAGCAGAGGTAAATTGCCAATCTCAATCGTTCATTCTCAACTGTTCACCAAAAGGCTACATCAATGAGATACATTTCTATTCCAACCAAGCTCTTTTCGCGGAGACATGCCATGCATTTTGTAGCGAAAGCGAGCAAATCTTCACGATAACCGGACAACTACATTTTATTCAAACTTCCTTGCCAATTTACAAATTGATAGCGGCGAAAGATGATAAAACAAGCTTGACGAATACTCTCAAATTTGAGTTTCCAGATATAGTGGAAGCATTATCAATAATGAGCCGTTATGCAATATTTACGGCCTTCATGCTCCTCACGCTTATCGGGTCAGTGATCATCACTATCCTCGCGTGCAGAGCAACGCAATCAAGCTCAACGCGAGAAAACGGTTATCGCCGTAATATCTATAGAAACATAGCACGGCAAGCACTACCAATGCCGCTGATGGCGGTATATATGTCAGCAACATTCTTCAAGATAACTCTGCGAATCGTTTTGTTCTTCCCTCGTATCTTGCTCCATTTTCTCCATGTTGCACTCAAAGCTTTAGCGAAAATTTGAGCTCCGCATTTTCGTCAAGTGGTAAACAATCAAGCAATTTTTTCAAACAAAATCATTCTTTTCCAGGAATGGAGCAAGAATGCCACACAAGGGATAATGAAAATGAAACCAATGGCGAAGAGCATGAAGAGATGAGCCCGTACGTGGCAATGGAGGTTGAACTGACAGGTGACGAAGATAATCATTCTCAAGTAAAAGGAGAGCCACCCGCGCACATGTGCAGTCCTAAATGCGAGGCAATGGAAAGCCTTCATGAATCTATCAGGGCTCTCCACGAGGACGTGATTAACCTAAGAAAGGAAATAAAAATGCAGAAGAAGAGCAGAAAACGCAAACACGAAAGCGACAATTACACAAAAACCAACTGTTTTTATTGCAAACTTGCCAAGCGCTATGGCGAGATGACTCGTCATCACACGGTATTTTGCCACTACCAGTTCAAAATGTGAACGGATTCCAAATTGGGAATGGATTCCCCTCGGAGTTTGACAACACGTATTTTCAAAAAAAAAAAAAAACTTCCGCATAGCACCACAACGCCGACGAAACGAAAACGCGCCAAATGATCACTTGAATGATTTTTGCTGTTCTATCGATTATTCTTGCCAATAAACCAATAAATCATGATTGGTGGCGTTCGTATAAATTCATGTAAGCAACACCTTGTTTGCTCTCTTTTTCGCAAACCTCAACTGAACAAAAGTAACAACGCGGCAAATGAAGCAAAAATGGTGAATGTGGTAAATGTAGTAAAAGGGGAAAATAGGCAAGGTGTAGAGAAGTGAAGGCTGCAAAAAAAATAAATAAATAAATAAATAAAAAATAATAATAAAACAGCGACAATGGCCATCACAAAATTACAAAAAGGGGAAAATTTTACATTTATTGAAATTTCAGGTTTTCTTTATAGATCATAGCAATGGAAGCCAGGACAGAAGAAGAAGAAATGAAACTTGTTTGATAAGCGATAATAATCATTCGTGAGAATAGTCGTAATTAATAATAGTTACTAGTTGTGCTATTGCTTGTATGTTTTTGCCAAAATTTTTTTTCGCGCCGGGAGGGCGGTCGGCCAAAACCGCGTCAACAAAACAGCGCCCCCGGAGTGTCGTGATAACCACGATCACCATGAGGGGCGGAGCGCCGGTCAAAGGCGACTAGGCGTACAGAGAGAATGATTATTCATTCTTGTCGTTGCTCCCTCAAGCAAGTCGACTTCCAGGCAAAGTGGCGCTTCAAACAAGCAACAATATATGTAATTCTAAGTTATGTCTCATTCGATTATGTTATCTTGACGCAATAAACAGAGTGTAAGTTTGTTTGTGGTTATCAGCAATTAAACCTAAACAAGGTTTAAACAGAGTACCCCAGTCGTACAGTAACAGATGTTGCCAGGAGGCACCGCCTATGCGAACTACTGGCCCTTTTGCAGAATTCTGAAAGGGCTGTTCAATTGGGCTCAACATTGCGCATTTTTGGATATATGGAAGTGCCTGCATGGGCGATAGGTATACGGTAGAAAGTCAATCTTCAACTGGAGCTAATTTTAAGTACGCGCATGTTATTATTAGCACACTACTGGCTACCTATCACATACCACATTTTCTAGACATAGAAACATTTTTTGTTTTCAGGTGTTGGATGAATGTTGTACAGTGTTAAGAAATACGGCTACTTGTGAAGTTATAAGTTGATGCTCCTTGCAATAGGTGATCTTTCTGTGCCAGCGCATTACTTCTAGGCGTTTTGAAGAACAATTTTTCAGAAAAAGAGATCCTCATCTGATAGACATTAATTTATCGCAATGAGTATAAGTTCCCTTCTGATTTTAGTAAGGCTAATTCTCACTTCCGTTGCGGTAGATAGGGTATTTCAAGCAGCTATAAGTCCATCAGACCATGACCACTTTGAAAAATGCTAAAAACGCACAATACTGATGACATGTCAAATGTAGTCGTGACTGTTTGCACAGCATGCTGGGCGTGAAGTGTGGTGAATTTGCGGCCACTGCCCAGGCAATACGCCAAAATATCTTTCTCAGTTTTCTTTCTCTTATCAATACTCTTCCGCCGCAGGCCTTTTGCAGCGCTTCAGCAGGAAAAAATCGTAAACACATAATCTTAGGAATAAGAAAACCCTGCTTTGAGTTCACACCCAGCTCTATGGACACCAACGTCCTACCAGCAGTTATGGATTCCATTTAGAGTAAAGTATCTTTCATGCTCAGAATTAGGCTAAAATTAAATGGGTAATTAGAGCATCGTGTTATGTTCACGATGGACAATTGTCTCGAGTGAAGCTATGCTGTCAAAAATTGTTCTGTAAATTGCCAGTTTATCAGCTGGGAAGACAATTTGGACAGTTCGAATCAATGTGAGATGATAAAAGTAAATAGAGTAATTTAAGAGCATCTTATACAGACGGTTATGGGTCTCTGCACTACCATGCTAAATAGTTTTTTAAACAATTCGGAAAGTACGATCCACCGATGGGTCACATGGTTTCTGAAGTTCTCATTTTGTCTTTTACTTAAACAGTTACGCAGACTTCTATATATATCATCTAAAAACTTTCTAAAAGATAAGTATTTCAAGCTGTGAACATGTCAGCGGGTCACTCTTAACCTGGCAAAATACGCTCTGGTCAGAAATGACAGTTACTGAAAAATAGTTTGGTTTCAAATGTGCTAAGCACCTAAGAAGGTTCGCCTTTGTAAAAAATATCTATTTTTGAGAAAAAAACGACCAGGTACCTCTTTCGTAGACATGAAAGACTGGCTTCGGCAGTGTATCTACATACGATTTACCCGATCTTTCACTTCTACACTTTTTCACTTCTACTCTTTCATTCTTTCGAAGTATTATATTTGGAGATTTCTGTAGTTATTCAGCGCAGGCAGAGCAGATTTTCATAGTCTACTAGAAGGCTGGTATAGGAGCAGAAAACCCGCACCAGTGCATCAATGCTTGTCATAGGGTAGTGTCTTCTCCATTACAGTAAAGACGAGAACATCTCTTGAGTTACGTAAATCTTTTTCATAGAGTCTCCCGAAAAACCTTTCATTGCTTCCTCTGTCCTATGTTCTATCATAGCAAGGAGTTGAGCGGGAATGAAAACCAGCTCGAACTGTAACAAATGGCTCTTAGAGTGAGAATCTTTGGCGAGACCCGGCACTTGTGACTTCTTTGTTGATCATGTAAGACTTTTAAAAGCCAGTGCATCAGTGAAACTACTAGATTTGAAGCCGGCGACTTCAAACATTTGGTAGAAAGTGGGTATTGATCAAATCTATTGGTACAGGTAAGACGGAAGCTTAAGGCACCGTTCACCCAGGTTCCGAATATGGAATCGAGAATCCGCGATCCCAATTGCATTCCAGAGAACCCATAGGCCGGCTTTCCGGAAAGATGTGTGAGCGCATGGATGGGTGGGCATCTCTGGAAAAGGCTGTGCGGACTTGGGGTCCTCATGCAACTTATCTATTTCGAAGCGTTTTCATCTCTTCCGAAGCGACATTTTGCGCCGCGACTTGGCATTGGCTTAATAGAGTGTCCTAAAACCTAAGCTGCTAAAGGCTGTGACACCTGAATTAGGGTGGACGGTGCCTTTAAGGGAGCTTCAAGCAAGACCTAAGCCCCTCCGAGTACCTGGCCTGAATGTAAGCCCTAGGAGAGGAGCATATGTGTTGCTCCGGTCCTCCACCGTTTCTGAGTGGGAGAAATGGACCTGGAACCCAAAAAAGTGCAATCAAGACACGCCCCCCTACCAAGTCCCCCTCGCTTAGGTACCAAAAGTCGTCTGCGCTTTCAGGATAGGCGCTTCCAGAAATTGGCGTTTTTTTTTGGAATTTTGAACTTCATAACTATCCAGAGGCATAGAAAGGCCCCAAAATGGCGAAAACAGAACGACAAAATTTTGGATGGACGCTGCCTTCAAGTCCCTCTGATTGCGAAATCTTGTCCTCAGAGCCGGTCCTAGCGCGATGTTAGCCATAAGCGCTGAAACTGATGCAATAGCAAGATATTGCAGCCTACACACTGACGTAAATGGTGAGTTTTGCCATTTCCTATTCACAATTACGCTAATGTTATTCTTTGATAAGACATCTTTAGACAAAGGAAAGCGTTTAAGTTTTAGCGAGCGTTGCACATGGCTCCAAAGATTTTGTCTTTATTGGTGTTACACTCCAATATGCCTTTACTATGCTTTAACTTGACTGCGCTAAAAGTGAGACCGAAGTAGAATGAAAAGAGTAGGACTTTATCATTTTCACTAGGAAATGTGCGCAACTGGCCATTTGCCACAGATTCAAACCTTAATATTTTATCCTTTTTGTACTCATCGAGTGAAAGAGGTTAGGAATTCTGCATCAATTTTATCTGGTGCTGCCTCTGAAGGCTCTTAATCTCAAACGGCGTGTAAAGGATATTCGTTGACGACTGTCCCGACTAGTGCAATTACACCACCGTGGGCGTGCTTTTTTGGAGCCTTTCCTGCTTGACAGTAGGACAGGACAGAACAGTGAAAGGACAGGGATGCGAGCTACTGAATCCCCGCACGGTGCAGCGTACTGTCAAGCTGGAAGGCCCCAATAAGGCATGCTCAAGGTGGTGTAATTGCACGAGCGGGGCAGTCGTCGACGAATATCCTTTAGTAGCACTGCGCAAATGGATCATTTGTTCGCAGCGGCGGCCTAAAATGAACGATGTCGTTTCTCTACATATAGTAAATTGTAGATGCCAAGCGCCATCTGTCCAGTATGCTTTGCTGTCAGCGGTGATGGGCACAAGGCAGGGGCTGGGCATGCACTTCTCGGAAGGGGTTCAATGTCTAATCTCATAATTCGCCCCAAAAGTTCTCAATATCAATTTCCACACCTCGGCTAATTTCGTAACGATTTCGCGCGACATAGCCAACAGAAGCCCATGTTACCGCATCCCGCAAAGGGTAAACTCTTCTTTCTCCCCTTTTTCGAGGCAAAACCCGTAGCGGAGTATTCCGCAGGGGAGTGCGGCCTGCTCTGACAGCATACGGTGATGGGAGTCGGCTATATGGGCTTTTAATTTGAGTGTCACGGTCCTCGCTAATCGCCTCGCTTGGGCCACAAGACAATTCGAGAATGTTTCGGCGCATTTTCTTAAGCTCGTCAGCCATAGATGCCTGAGGAATCGGTATTTCCGACGCCTCGAGCGTGGGAAAATACCGTATCCGCTGAGGCCGAACGCGGCCAGAGCACCCAAGCGAGGCGGCCCGAGCCGACAGTGGCACTCAGATTGAAAGCCCCTGTATAAATCCCTCCCTTCCACAGATTTACCCTTTTGCCTGGTGTTGCCGTACACAGTAGGTTTGATAAGTGAGGCAAGACTGATATCATTCCACTACCTCCCTAATCATGTAATTTGAGGCTTAGCTTTTAGGCAGGAAAAGGCAAAGATCCTGCATTTGGCGA